CATAAGTTCGTAGTACGATTTGTCATCTTTAGCTTTTCTGTTCCCGCATCTGCTTTGACCAATACAGCACTGCCTATTGATCAGTGTGCTAGCGACCCTAACGTTTGTTTCGTCGCCTCTTGGACTTCTAGCTCAGCGATCCTTCCGACCGAAGCACTTGGCAAGGCTTCAACCGTTTTATGATGTCATTGGTATGTGTTAAGCAACGCCACTTTGTTTTGACCGTGATGAGGTATCTTAGAAAAAAAACTAAGAGGTATGTACGAGCCGAATGAAAGTACAGGCTTCTAAACAGAAAATACAGGATCGACAGTAATAACAGCACCCTTTTGCTACATGGAAATTTTACTTTACCGCAAGAATGAGAGCAAATCATCCGAGAATTGTTTCAGAATACAAGCCAGTACCATTTGACTGTTAGAATTACTAACCTTATGAAAATTCATTTGTTGCATATATGCAGCGCTGAGAAGCGTCGAAATTGTTGAACAAAATGACATTATTACAAAACCAACAATCAAATACGGAAGCATACTTAGGCCAGCACGTGTGATCTCGGCATCGACATATTCGAATGAAACAATCATTACACGAATATGTTTCGGTTTATAGACACTGAAAATTCGAAGCAGCAAATCAGTAACTTTCCGAGAATAAAAACGATTTCTTTGTCTTTCTTTATAAAAGGCAACCAAGTTGTCTTTAGCTCCGGCACTTTTTCTCTTATACCTTTAAATTTCAGCTTTTAATGAATGCTACGATTATCAATACTGTAGGGGCAAAATCACTGATTTTATTAATGTTACTAGGATGCATTGTGGTACTCAAAGCCTGCTTGATTTATGTGTGTCATCTTATCAGAAGTCATCCGAGTGAACATTGATAAGCGACTCTATCGGTTTTTGGCAAGGACAGCAACATGCCCTGGCCAGCGGATTTCTGCATGCCGTTCATCTGAACGCACTTCTGATTGTTTATATGGTCACGAAAAGACTCGTTTACTGCTTCTGATGATAAAGTGGCGTATCCTAAGGAGTCACAACCGCTATTGTGCTGTTGTTCATGCTATCACTCGTGATGCTTGTGACTCCATTACCTCATCTAGAGAAAGGGGGACGAGAGAGAGTTATGGAGCAGATTTTAACTTTAAAAGTTAAATTATTTATTGTATGATATTTTGATCAGCTGCAACACACAGTTAGCTTCGAAGTTGGCAGCTTTTCCAGTTGCTTTGTCCAATACTGCATCACCCTGTGGTTAGCCTGCTGTCGAACCTGATGCTCGTTTCGCCCCGTAAAACGGAACAAAACTTTAACCGTTCTCCCGGGAACTGTACTTATTTCAAATAAAAGTGTGAAAATTTGCTAAAATGATGCAATTTTTGTTTAAACGAAATATTTTGTTTACACTTCAAAACAAAATATTTCATCTATGTCAGAAGAACAGTAGAAAGGATCGTCAGTGCGCTGGGCTGACCCGCTAACTGAAGCATGGTGTGCTACGAAAGCAGGGAGCCTAAGGTCGAAGTCGATGGGAGCCCAAGGCCGAAATTAATGGTGAGGCTGTTGGTCACATCACTGGGAAAGGCTACGAATAGGAATCAGCGGCACACCGGCAGCCATTTCAGGTCTTAAATACAGTCTGAAAAAGTCATATCATTCTCTCTAATTACGCAGGCTAAATGAAGCAAAAAAATTTCAGACTCAATAAGCATACTTTTGGAAGTAATGCACGATGCCCAGCTCATAACGCTTCGTTTCCTCTACAGTCCAATCGCCGACACGCTCGCCACGATACATCAGTTTGATCAGCTTGGCTGATTCCATATTTGTTATATAGGAAGCAATTTCTGGTCCGGGGCTTGTTGCATTTCTGGCCCACTGTGATTCATTTTTAAGCACAACACCATTGAAGTTCATCTGAAATTTCAAATTCAAAGCGAAATTAAAGCGAATTAAAGCGAAATTATACAGATAAGTACGGTTCAAAGTAGAAAAGAATGGAGAAATTGCCAGCTGCACCAGCAGTGAGAAGAAAAGCGATGATGAAATAACTGCTGGAAGGATGAAAATTGAAAGTGCTTGCAGAACAAGCAAAATCAAAATACAAGTAACGTCAATTTCGACGAAGATCCATACTAATTACCTGTATGTTAATCGCTCGACCATAAATGTACGAAACAGGATACAGTAGACGGAC